GAGGGGGAAGGGGACACCTCACACTCCATCAGAGGGGTGGGGCGTGAGGAGAAGAAGAGGAAGAAGGGACAGAAAACCACAGCCGTTAGACAGTGGCACCTCAAAGGTGGGTGCCACGGTGGTAGAAGGGACCTTTACAAAGACTAGCCTGTTGACCGCGGGCTTTGGAAGGTCGGCAGTAGAAGTATTGGCCGACCACGTGACTGGCCGGACTGGCCGGACTGCCTTTGCGTATGACCGGCCAGGGACCGGGGTCCCAACTGGGGGGCAGACAGTGTTTCGGGCCACCTGAAAAGAGCAGTCATTTCGCACTTTATACGCCTGGATTGCGCGTTCTTGGATCCAAGTCGGGTAATCCTAAATAAATGCTGTGTACTGGCCGTGGCAATTGGGGCAGCAAGGACTAGCCTTGCATTCCTTTTTAGGATGCCCGGTCTTGCCACCACGAGGACACACGCTACGTGTCGGCATCGCGGCTGGCTATGGCCAAACTTTTGGAACTTGAAGCAGCGCAGAGCGCTCCGCACATAGGGTCGCACGTCAAGGACCAAGTAAGATGCTCGAACGGTGGCTGGAGAGCGACAGGAATCGAAAGTCAGAACAATCGTGTTCGTCTCGAGGATGGTCTCCTCCCGCCGAAGAGTAATCCGGCGGGCGTGGGTCACACCCTCGCAGTTTGCCACAATTTCCTCCAAGCTGCAGCACTTCCGTTCAAGGCTGCAGACGACGCATTTAGAGCAGTTCAACTTTTGGTTCCACGTGGATGTACATGGAACACCGCCAAAGGTCGTGGTGTTGAGGAGCTAGGTCACTTCTGTCTCTGTTGCGCACTTGACAAGGAGTGCACTACAGGACAGTTTCTGTACATTTGTGGGTATGTATCCCAGAACTTACCGTAGTGCATCAGTTATCTTAATCTGTGCGTCTTCTGTACCGGAGATGACCACGTACGGCTGCCGCGGAACTGAAATAACTAGAAAAATAAACCAAGAGCAATTAAAAAAAAAACAACAACGAATAGTATCAAATACTTGGAATACAATAAGCAACTAAACAACTTCAAAAGATCCAAAGCACCCCCCCCTCCCCCAAAATGTTATCAAACAGTTTACAAAAGAAAAAAAACAACAACAACCCAAAACAAGAGAAAAGCCAAAATACCCCCCTCC